CCCCCCCCCGGATCTGTGTGCGAGCGTGCGTGGGTGAGCGCGAGACTGCGCCGTCTGCGCCTGCCCTCTGTGGGTAACGGATGTCTCATCCTTCTGAGCCTTTTCACAGCTCCTCAAAACACAACAGGATTTCCAACTCAAAATACTTGCTGCTTTCCGAGGAAGCTTCCTGGAAGTGAGAGGTAGAGCCGGGCCAGCCTGGAGGCAATTCCTAACTGGGAGAAGCAGCTGGCTCTCACCTCGGCCTTGAGGTCGGTCTCTCTGTCTTTTATCCAGCACAGGAGCCTTTCCCAGCCTGCATGCTGGCTTAGCAAGGGCATGAAGGCTCCGGGAGCTTCCCAGAATTCTGTGCAGGAATATTTTCTGTGTTTTGGAACTAAACTGGCGCCACATGTGTGGCGGGGACCCGTGTCTGGGGTCACAGCAGGGTGTGGGGGTCGATGCCTCCCACCCAGCTCAGTGAAATGCTGGGGCTCAGCAGCCTCCTGGGGGAACAGGGCATTTTTTTGGGGTGCTACAGGCTCCAGCCTTCCTCAGTGTCCCCCCTTCTCAGGAAACACTAGATAACGGAGGGAGCGACAAGTTTATGTTAATGGAAATGGGATTTGCTTTGCTCAGCACTTTATCCTACGACTCCTGCCTGTATTCCTCTAAGTTATTTATAAGGAAAGATTACTAATGGACTAGAACAAGGCAAATGCTTGTGGGGTTTGATGGAAACAATTCCGTATCTGTGGTTAATTACAGTAATAAAACTTGATGAATTGCACGCGGGGTCACGGCAGCGGTTGCTTTCGGAAACGATGGGGCACCCAGCTGACACTTTTTATTGATCTTTTTAGGCCTCTCCTGGCATCCTTACACCAACATCCTCTTGATTCTGTCGATAAAACCTTTCACCGCCTCACAGGACCACCTTCTTCAAACTCATCTTTCCTGTTTTCTTGTTTTCATCATCCCTAAGGGGCCCGTTTGCGTGGGGCTCTTCTGCCGTCAGCCCGTCTCTCCCCTCCTCTGGCACCGTCCTGCGTTTTCCCTCCCCGGTTGGGGTGGAGATGGTTTAAGGCACGGCACTGGTAGTGTTGGAAGGAAGAGAACAAGACGTAATTACTAGAAAAAAAACCAATTTTATTACGACAGTTATTGCTTATTAAATATCTCAGACTTGTTCTCAGTATTTTGACCCTCCCCGTGCTCCTCCACGTCTGTGCTTTGCGTTCTGTGTCTGCCCCGATCTCGCGCCGTCCCACGCAAATGCCGCTGAGCGCGTGTCTCCGCAGCTCCCCTGGGAAGCTGGCAGACGGCGGGGGGCGTCTAGCAGGCAATCCTGCGAAGCTCAGCACCCCGCTGGCAGCCGATTTTGCTTTCAGGGTGGGAGGAGGAGTATGGTTATCCCGGTTTTGAGAGATGGAGAAGCCGGCAACCCCTGCTTCTGAGCGGGGCTGCTCCATTCTCGGCGCCTGTTGCGACCCAGCCGCCTCTTAAACGGTTAAAAATAGCTTAAAAAAAACCCCAAAACCCCTCACACTCTGCCATGAGGGAGGCTCAAAAGCAAGAGAAAAGCTTTCTTGGGAAGGTGCTGGGTTAGAGCCGAGCCCTGCACGGCTGCTGCCTGCTGGGAGCAGGGATGGAGGAGCACGGGTGGGTTTGGCTCCCTGGCTGGGGGGGACCCGGCACCCCCCTACTCGGGGGTCTCCCATCCCTTTTGGAGGGGATGCGGGCAGGTTTTCTGAGGTGAGCAGTGCAGGTATGCGTCATTTCTTCCACCAGCTTGGTTGAGTTTGTCATTGCGTAGAATTGCAGGAGGGGTTTGGGCTGGAAAAGAACTTCAAAGATCATCTCGTTCAACCCCCTGCCCTAGGCAGGGATGTTTTTCCGCTTGATGGGGTTGCTCAAAATTTACCTTTTTTGTGCTGCATCCCATCTCTGCCTGCAGGGTGGGAAGGTGGCTGACAACGGAAACGAGGTGGCTTGCCAAAAATGCAAGAAAAGCCGCTAATTCAGCAGTTGCTCAGCTTTGCTGCCGCATGTGTGACCACCCTGGGACAGCGGCGGGGGGGCAGGGGGGGAGATGGCTCAGCCGAGGACTAGGGCAGCCAAAGGGGGTCCCAGCTCTGGTGAGAAGTGTGTGGGGGTCACACTCTGCGGGCGGAATGCAGGTCGTAATCGCTGTCGGAGGAGTTGTCTGGAGGGTTGGAGACTCTGCATGCACCTTCGAGGGCTGCGGGGCAAAGGGATGTGGCTCGTTAATGGGGACTGGGGGATGCACCCCAGCCCCCGGTGCAACAACCCCTCCTGCCTGGTGTCAGCAAAAATCTTGCTGTGATGCTTTTGCCTGAGCGGTTCATCCCCACGGGCGCGTGTGGGAAGGGAGCATGGAGGAGCCGTTCCCGGCGTCCTCCTGTGCTCACCTGGGTACGCTGAGAGGTAGGAGCTCTTCTGGGGGGGCTGAGCGTAGTCGTTGTCCCCCCCTTGCACCCGCTGCTCCTCTGCCCGCGGCCTGGGGGTGACGGTGCTGTTGCGGTGGAAGGAGACTGGAAGAGATAATGGGAGAGGAGGCGGGATTGGGGAGGGGGTTTAGGGAGTTCAAGGTGACGCTCCCACCCCGCCACCCGGGGGGGGGAAAAGGGGCTGAGTAAAAGCAGGACCCACTCCCGTGCCGTGAGCCGGAGCTCGGCTCCGCCGGCTGAGTTAATATCGCTCCGATGAGTCAACGTGGCGGCAGGAAGCGAGAAGCGGGGCCGGCCGTGAGCCCCGCTCACACCTCCGCCTGCCCGCTGGTGCCTGCTGCGGTCCGGGGGCGAGCAGCCCCAAAGCCAGCCCCAAACCCAACCCCACGGCGGTGCCGCAGCGGAGATCCTGGCAGATGCGGGTGGCTAGCTCTGGCCTGATGCCCGGGCCATCCGCCACAGACCCCCACAACCCCTGCCTGTGCAGCTCCACGTAGCCCGAGCAGCCGAAGTCCCCGTCCACCAGCTGCAACCTGTTGGGTCCTGGTGAACAATGGGGGGAATAAAAGCATTTTGTTCCAGACCAGGATGACATTTCTCTCTGTTACTGAGCAGAAAGTCCTGAGACTGCCACATCTGAAGCTTAATTGCCTCGTTGAGGCTGCAAATGCTATTAATGAGATCAGGTGATCTCACAAAGTGGGAGGCAGTTTGTTTTGCTGTGTGGAACCCCCATTGCTGCTTTGCTCCCCTCCATCGTGCCCAGTGATGGGGCTCTTACCAGTGGGCTCCGGGGTGGTGGCTGGAGGTGCCGGCAGGGGCTTGGGGGTGGTTTTCACCGGCTCTGAAATAAAAAGAAAGAGGCCAGATTGGGGTGGCTGGTCCCTGAGGATGGGGGTGGCCAGGGTGGGGTCTGGGCTCACCGCTGCAGGTGATAATGGCTGGCTCCGTGCAGTTTGTCAGATCCCAGTGGCACTCCACTGAGGTGCCTGCCAGCCACAGGCACCGCAGCATCTGTGGCTCCTTTTTGCCAGCGAAGATGAGCTGGAGGGGCTTGGGGATGGCGGGGCCACAGCCCAGCCACTGGCAGATGCCATCCGCACCCCCATCGCTGGCTTTGTCCCGGCACACGCGGCTCCACCTGCCCTGCCACCTCACCTCCAGTATCCCGGCGCAGCGGCAGCCACTGCCGGTGAGCTGCAGGATGAGCTCTGCGGGGAAAACACGGGGTTTAGGGGTTTTCCTTCCCTCGGCAGCGTGTTTTCCACCACCTGGGGCTGGAAAAAAGCCCTTTGATGGCACATTGCTGCAGCGCAGTGGGGCAACCAGGGCTTCTGGCAAAGTGGGGCAGGAAGGAAACAGGGTGCTTGGGGGTGCTTGGAGGGCGTGGGGACCATAGGGTTGACCTGGGAGA